AAAGTCAAATTATTGAGTTTAAAGGTATGGTTCGATAGTGCCATTACCTTGAACCTCTATTTCTAACTTTAGTACCCTGATCATGATGTGACCACGTTTCATGCGCCATCACTGCACTAGGACCCAACATTAATTTTTTTTTAAGTACAATATAAGGTAAATATATAAAAAGTTTTATTATAATATTATTATTATTTAAATTTTAATCATTTTTATATTATATTTACTTAACAACTTATTTACAAGCCACTTGAGTCTCATGACTCAACAATTATAATTTGAGTAGTAAAATGCACTCCTATCTTCAAGAACTGGGATTTGAATCTTTTCTCTCCCTCTCCAAAGGTAAATTCGTTCAAAAGATAATAATAATAACTTATACAAGACCCAACACTACTTGTTTTGGTATAGCCAGCCTTTTTCTTTGGATTGACTTTGCATCTAGGAATTAACTTTTATTTCTACTACTAGTACCCCGATCATGATGTGACCACGTTTCATGCGCCATCACTTCGCTAAAATCACAATGCAAATGCAAAGCAGTCTTTCTAGAGTCCTGGCTAGGACAAGATCAGGAGACTGGAGCTAAAAATTGATCGTCAAATGTTCGGCATGAGTAATTGGAAATGTGGCAGTGGTTTGAAATAGCTATAATTGTGAAAATACCTAACATGTACTCTGTCCATGTGCCAAAAAAAAACCCCCTAACCCACTTCTGCCTTCTTTTGCTCCTTTCAAAAAAAAGAAAAGAAAAGAAAAAAAAAAAGGCCATTCCTTAAATTTTATTCTTTTCAAAATTAAACAATTAAATTTTAATACAAAATTTACATTTACGTTAAACCAATTGATATTAGATAAAGAACTGTTTTATATTTAATTTACATATCTTCTTCATATTTTTTTTTAATATGAAAATTTCCAACTTAAGATTATGCAAGCGTTCGATAAGTAGGCATGATATATAGGCATAGCCCCAAACATATTCTTTTGGGGTCCTCAATTAAAATGAACTACAAAAAAGACACTGCTACTGGTTTTAAAGCGACCATGTGCGTGCGTCGGGTATTTTTTGTTTTCTTCTCGTTAATCATCACTTCCAAATTCTAATATTATCTTCACTCTTATCTTTGTGTACAAATTGAAATAGCCCACCATGTTGTGGACCTTGTGGTGCAGTGCGCAAGTGGCGCTGTGGCGCCCCTGAGTGTCTACCCATTGCCCTTCCCCCCTCTCCTGAGAGAGAAAAATGTATACAATTTATGTTTTATTTAAAAAAGCTTCTTGATTTTTTAACTTTTAATTTTTATGTTTTTTCATTATTTTAAAAACATATAAAATATTAATTATAATAAATATTAAATATATTTTATATATTTTTTGGATATTAAATAACTTATTATTGCAGTTACAAACCAACGCTATCAAATTAAGCTTTAATTACCCATAGATGTAATCTTTAATTGCATATAATGAGAGAAAACATATTTTCAAACTCATCATATCATTAGTAATAATGTATTTTGAGAAATTAATCCATAAATGTAATCTTTAATTTCTTTTAATTTGCATTAATTTACACACTCATTTTGGATTTTAGTACTTGAATTATTGCCCCTCCCTAAAACTAAGAAATCCAAAATGTAATGCATTTTTCTCCAACCAATCATACTCTAAGGGTACTCAAAATGCAGTAGTACTAAAATCCAAAATGAGTGTGCAAATTAACGTAATCTTTAATGCATTATTACCCTTATATTAACCCATAAATGTAATCTTTAATTTCTTTCATTTTGCATTAATTAATTAAGATCTTCTAAAACTTCTACTATTGCTCCTCCCTAGACCATACCCTTAGGGTATGTTTGGTTTGAGGGGAGGAGAGAGGAGTTTTTTAACCAATCAAATTATTATGTTTTTAAATATTGTAATTTAATTAGTCAAAAAAATCTCTCTTATCCCCCTTCATTTTTCTAAAACTAAACATATTGTTAGTTAATTTACCAAAAAAAAAAAACATATTGTTAATATGTACAAGTGAAATTACATTTTGTGGCGGAACCAAGATTTCTCCTTGAGTAGGGCCTTCTTGTTTCACCTCCACTTATCACCATAATATACTATAGATATATAGAATAAATAAAGAAGATAAAAAATTAAAATAAAAAGGACCAAATTGTAGCACAAATGAAAGAGTAAAAAGGGTTGGACAACAAAAAAGAAAATGCAAATCCAATTGAAGAATTAATGTGTGTTGTTCCATTTTAGTAGACTAAATATATGAATTGCTCTTTCTTTCTTCTCCATTGCAATGAATCAAGAAGGATTTGTGTCAATTTTCTTCTAGAAGTTTCATGAGGGCTTAATTGGATGGTGCATTGGAAGCTAAATTGGATAAATTAAGGGGTAATATTGAGAAACTTGTATCATGTGGGACTTAGTTTTTAGGGGATCCAATTGAGAGGATATAAAATAAAATTTTAACTTTTTTAAAAAATATAATGTTCATTGATTTTAAAAGTTAAAGTCACTTGAAAATAACTCCAGAACTAAAGTTAGTTAGAAACAGAGGGGAAAAAAAATTGAAAGTGAAAGAGAAGAGAAGGAAATTGTAGCTATGAAAAACTAGGAATGAATTTTTTTTTTTAACAATGTACAATTTTTGGGGAAAGGGGAATGAGATTTTTTAAGACGTCAGTGAAATTCAAAACCCCGATCGACAAAACCAAGTGCTTAAAACCTTAAGGTGAATCACTAAGATCCAAAAGTTCGATTCGAAATAAATTAGTTTGCTATGAAAAGAGATATTTTACAATAACTTTTTTCAAAGTATAGGCTCTTTTCTTCTCTTAGATCTCCGTTATTCAAGGTATGAGTTACCTTTTTTCTCTTTTCTTTTTTTTTTTCATTTTAATATTTTATATTTCTTTTGGTTTTTTTTTTATTTTAGTTTCTTAAAATCCTAAATGTTTTGTTTTCCCTTCATCCACACATTCTGACCCAATGACATTAACGCTAGCTTAATGGGATTATCTTCACATATTACAGTTTCGAACTTTACAATTTTTTTTTCTCATATTCCTTTACCCTTTCCCCAATCGTAATAATATTAAAAAAATATATATTTTCCCTCGTATTCATCTAACTTTAAGGTCGGCTTGCACATGTTTATTTTTTTTTTTGGCGCAACGTAGGGCATACACAGTTGAACCCTTAACTTTTTTCAAAAGTTTTGTGGCCTAGGGTAGGGCCGGTGCCTAACCCTCGGCCAACGTGTTCCCGCCACTTACACGAGTATTTGAAGTTGGACCAAGACTTCGCTGTTTCGGACAAGCATTATTTTTCGTTGGAAAAGAATAGTCATTAACGGTATTGTATTTTTTTTAATATTTTAATATTATAATAAGTAAATAAATGGTGTGGTGTAGATGAATTTTGTGTTTGTTTATATATATAAATATATATATTGAAAATAGACAATGGATTGTGCTTGTTTATATTTAAATCTTTTGTTTGATTGGATGAAAGAATTACCGTTTAACCCAAAAAAAGGATTATTCTTTGAATAAATAAAGAAAGAGATAGTGCAGACCGTGGTATATAATGGATGAGAAACGGATGGCTGTAATCCCATTACGAACGCTCATTTCCACATGCTGCTCATCTGGTCCTGCCTTATCTCCCTAAATTGAACTGACTCTGCCGCTTTCCCTTTGACTTGTCTGGAACATATAAAGCCAATGTGATCCATCCCTAGATTAACCTTGTCTGCCATCCCCACTACCTCTCTTTTGCATAAAACGTAATGTTATTCATGTAACCTTCAATTTTCCTATAGTTTACAAGTTAAAGGTGTTAAACTAGTTATATAAATTTTGGACAATGATTAGTATATTTTTTTATTTAATACACTTGATGATATATTTATTAAAAAATTATTTTTTAAAAATTTAAATTAAAGTTAAAAAATTTTAAAATTATAAAATTTAATAACAAAATTAATAAATATTATAGAGTATATTGAACTGAATGTAGTCAATTATTTTCCATAAATTTTAATCAAAGCATACACCGAAGACTCATAGGCACGTAGGAAACAGAGCGTAAACCACACCATGATAAACGATTACTCATACAGTTATGCCCAGCAGTGACTGCAAAGCACAGAATTTCCCAATTTACTGCTTTCTATTACCAACAAAAAAAAAAATGCTAGTCTTCAACCAGAAGTATTAGCAACTTCAACTGTAAAAATTGTACGAAGATAAAGTTTCTTCATCCAGAAGCAAGAAAAAGAACGATGCTTAAAAGCATTTCGTGCCTCCTCCTCTGCTTTTCCTTTTCCACACTAACTTACCTTTTACATAAATATATTTAAACTTTTTATCATAATTATTGCGGCGAAAGGTCAACATGCTTTCTGTCAGCATCGCCACCACCGTTGCTGCCGTCGCGTTGTCCTGTGACCCTTTTGCTGATATTGCAATTACACGCAATTCCGTTTCACAAACCCCAATCTCTTATTCGCCAGATCATATTCCACGTAATAATTCTGCTGTTGGAAGCTCCCCAAGATGATTGCTGGCCCGCTGGAGATTTGCGGACCGATTCCACTGTCGGTGATGATCGCCAGGCAGACCACACTCGTATCAGCAACGATGGCGAAGTAATTCTCCAATGGCAATGTCATTTTGGCACCGCCTTTGAATTGGAAGATCAATTCCGGTATAGGCCCAGATTCCTTACCGGAAATGTTGAAGCAGGGCCGCAATCCAGAGAGCTTTTCAATGGCGGCGGCTCTGCTGTAATTAGCCATCTGCTTCTCTAATTCTTGCGCCACCGGCTCAAATACTGGCTTCTCCATGAAAGTGAACGTTGAGCCGGAGTCCACAATCATACCTCCATTCCCATCCGACCTCGGAACCAAGTAACCATACGGAATCTTAACGCCCTTATCTCCGACGATAATTTTCCGTAGAGTCAGGTAGTAATAATCTTGAAAAACAGAGTTTGAGGTAGCTGGATTCTCGCGAAACGGTGTGTAACTGATGCCTCGGGCCTTATGATCATCCGAACCCGATCCGGTTTCCAGCACCAGGTTGCTGTGGACCGGCGTATCATCGAATCGGCGAGGAACCAAACAGTAAGCGAATTTCTTGAGGCCCATCTGGGACGGTAGAGATTCAGGGCTCCGGCCGAACCCAGCAATTCCGGCGGGCTGCCTCATCGAGAAAATGGAGCAACCGACGAGGAAATTCGGCACTGTTTTTTGAGGAAACTTGAGTGTTTCCAACAGTAAAAGCCCACCGGTGGAACCCAAACCGTACTGAATGATATAAGGAGGGCAAGTCTGTGTACAATTCCGGGCACTCGGGTCACAATCATGGCATTGGGACTTGACATCAGGCCCTAATATCCAAGAGCATTTCGGGTTTTTACATCCCAAAAGCTTGGCAGAAGATGATAATTTGGGCTTGAAAGTGGGGATGTGAGATGGGTCTACGTTGGAAAAATCGCATTTGCTGCAGACGTAGCGAGAAGTGCAGGGGAACCAGACGAGGCTGCTGCCGGTGTCCACGATGAATGGTAAGGTCTGCGATGGTGTGCCAAAGCTGAGGGAGACACTGTAGGCTCCATAGCTATGGGGATAGACTGGGGTCTTAACGACATCGGAGGTATTGGTTTTGTGTTTTGGGTGCTTGAGGTGATGAGCCCTGGAGCGGGAAGAAGAGGCAAAAATGTTGAGAATTTGGTAGAGATCTGAGGAGGGGTGCTTAGTGACGGGAGAGAGAGGTACAGTGATGGTGGTGGCACCGCTAGTGTTAGCGGTGGCGGTGGGCGGCGCTAGGACAACCAAGGAAAGGAAGGAAAACAGATAAAGAAAGGCCATGGGAATTGTGTTTGTGTTTGTCAAAATGCAAGAATAAGTGAATTGAATTGAACGAAGTGTGATGGAGAATGGAGCATGGTATATGCCTTGTTTCTTTGATTGTTGTTTTATAGAGGAAAAAGACAGACTGTAATCAAGTTCGATTTCGGCAATAAGTTGTATCTTTTGCTATTACTAATAAGATTTACAAATATACCACCCGGTAATGTAGTTAAAATGTAACGAAGAATTGTAATTTAACAGTTATTATAAGTTATTAAATAATTAGATAAATATATATAATATTATAAGTAAATTTATAAATTTAAAAAAATTAAATAA